AGGCAAGATAGATGAAAGAAGTCTCAGCATGTCAGGGTGGCATGACTGGATGTAGGAATAAAATGGATTTATGAAATGTTAATATTAACTGTTAATAAATATTTAATGTTTATTAAATAACTGTGAATATTTAAAATGCACAGTTTAAACCAAATTCAAAATATAACCTCTCTGACCTATCCCTTGGAGAGAAAAAAGTTCTGGAAGCAAACTACAAATTAATAGACTTTGTCAGGACCATAGTCTGCGACAGAATGCTAACGGCAATTTTGGGCTGTGCCAGGCCCATAAATAATATCATATAGATGCTGTTCCCTATAAAGAGCATACAGACAGGATGGGATACAACATGTTGAGTTCCATTATGCAAGATAGAGGAGACGGATTTTAAAAAAGGAGGCAAAGGCAGAGGAAGAATAAGCAGCCACAAAAAAAAAAAATCTACCTTGACACTCTTCTTCTCATCTGATCCTTCTGTCATGAGATAAGCTTTATCACCATCTGTCCCTTCTACACTGAGAAAGCAGTTAGTTGTGTGTCCAATCCCACTAGGAAGTACCTTATCCCACAACATTGCATTAATGACCGAACTCTTTCCACTGCTTGTTCTAGAAGGAAATAACATAAAAGCATTTAAAGTGGGCTTAACAAATCATAGCATACCTTTGGTTGAGACTACTTGCCCTACATAACCTAAGCAGACCTGGATTTTATGCAATTGTTCTGCATGGCTTACCCTTGTTCCCACAAAGGCCGGCTTGCAGGAATGTCCCATACAACCAGGTCTACTCTTGGAAAAAAAAGTTGGTACAGCTATACCAACCAGCCCTCCTAGGACAGGCATAGACTACCAGTGCAAAAAGCACTTCTTGCTAGTATGCCTAGCACTTCTTGCTAGTATGTTTTCAACCTTTTCCCCAACGAAGGGAAAAAAAAAAAATCACATTCCTAACCAACATTGTTCCATCAGTCACATTTTTATGAAGAGGTAGCCTAAGACTGTACTGTCTTTAAAACAGAGACCACCTTTACCTTTGTCTGTTCTGTGCTTATCAAAATGGAGGTCCAACCAATTTTGAGCGGTATCTGGGCACTACCCTAATATAAATCAGCAATGTGTTAATGTTTGACTCCTTTTCAAAAATGAAATTTCCATTTAAAAAAACAAAAAGAAAACTTCACAATCAAATAAGACAACTCATGTGTCAGATAACTTTTTCAACTCAACGAAGATTTCCACAATAAAACATGCAAACTTTTTAAAAAAAAAAGAACATAAAATATATTTCTCTTGCACTGATTCCAATTCATTGCAATATGAAACCCTTTATTTTACATTCCAGTATTTAGCCCTAATCTCATTTTGGATGAAAAACCTCAATGATGCAGACATTATTGGTTCACTTGGCTAACAGAAGTGTTTATTAACTCAATGCACTAAAGAGATTCAAAGTTCATTCTAAGTTATGTCCTACTGTACCAGCCTTTCACTTTTCACACCAGGATTTGAGGCCTAGCTTTTCTGTAACAGAAGGAATCTCGTATAAAGTGAACTCATATACTAAACAGTTATATTTTTAGAACTGTACCATCTAAGAGAGCTATTTTAATACTCTACGTGCAGTCACTGGCGAATCTGAATAAATTCTGAAAACATTAGGCTTGTTTTAAATGCAACACTGGGTTAAAGTTTAACTATCTCTAACCCTTTGCAACTGTGTCTTTATCTGGGAGCATATCTTAATATTTTTAAAAACTTTTTGTGCAATGAAATTTCAGGACCTAAAATATCAGTAGACAAAAAAAAGGAGAGCTGTTTGTTTTATGCATTTCTTTCCAGTTACCAAGGTATCATCTTGGCAAAAACAGGAAGGACTATCTAATTAAGCATTTCTTTAATGCATGAAATTATTTTAAGTTTATACCCAGATTCCAGGAAAGGGGTCATCTCCGCATGCTTAACCAAGCACAGTACTCTGTAGATTTCAACAGGATTTCTTAAAAGGCACAAAGCTAAGCATATAAACAAGTGTTTGTAAAGATCAGAACCTTAGTTTGTCCTTCGCCATTTAAGGAGGATTTTACTGTTTTATATTTCACTTTGCATATTGAGCACAAATTGACTTAAAAGCGCCAAGTATATTTGTGCTCAATTAGTTTCTAGTACTTTTGCACTGCCATTACGCTCTAACATTTGGTCTGCACACATTCAGGAAAAATGTTTAAATCCTAATGAAACCTTCCCTTCAAGGTTTACAAAAAGCTTCAAAATAATTCTGTTCCGTTTCTGGCTGTATGTATGTAAAGTGTAAGTGTGTAAATGTACGTAAGGATGTAAAGCATCTAAAAAGTAAAGTTCAGAAGACCACCAATGACTAAAAAGCATTTTCCAACACCCTGAAAATGCAATTTTTAGGACAGAAAATGTGTATCAAGAATATTCAAACAGCATTTTTCACCATATTTTGAAAACATGAAGTATGTAGGCAAGAAATTATAACACTTAGTTCTAGGAGACGACAATAGAAATTATAACTAGCCATTTTTCTACTGAAATGTAGGAAGGTGGGAAATATGAAGGTTGGTAATTTTATCTGCATGTGTGTAGGTCAAGTACTAGTTTAGTGTTACCATAAAAAGCAATCATTATAGTGGAGTCGCATCTTATGCGGGGGTTAGGTTCTAAAGTCAGCACGTAAGGTGAAAATCGCGTATAGTCAAAATTACAGAGAGTGAATCGTAGATGAAGTGGTTGGCTCTGGTTCAGCTTGAGACGTTGATTGCATAGGCTCATCTGCTGCTAGTTGTTTTTTCTTGAAAAACATGGCAATCGGCAACTGTTGCTGTTGTGTCTTGAGCTGCTTAAACCTTTCTGGGTACAGTCTCAAATCATCC